CATATATATATATATATATATATATATATAAAAGAAAGATGATAGTCATTTACCTTGTTGTTCCAGTATGAAAACAACCACACTTATAAAGAATAAGAAGGAAAAATCCATAATGCTCCTTTTCTAAGATGCACAGTACTTTAATTGGCAAGCCTGTCTCCTGGATGTCTATCCACAGGAAGAGAGGAAAGCTGTGAGGGGGGAGAGAGAGCAGGTTGTGGGAGTTTCTCAGAAACTTCTGCGACTCTCTAGACACCTCCAGCTTACCACACCCTCCTCCCCCCATCTCCCTCTTTGGATCAGCCTGCCAAGTTGTTCTTCACTATGGTAGGGACAGGTGTTTGCCAAGACTCATTGTATGTGAGTGTCAGTGGGAGAGAGAGAGGGAGAGCTTGTACTCTATGTTTGGAGAGATGCTCTTAATCCAGTGGAAAAGTTTGTGAAAGAAGGTATCTCAACATTGTCTGTTTCCATCCGGCGCTTCCAACATGGTCAGAGCAGAGGTGCATCACAGATTATAAATGGATGGATTGAGTTCCACTTCATGGGTGAGCTGGCATCTCATGGGAATTTGTGTGCCCTCTTGTTTTTCCCTTCCTGGTGCTATGTTAGGAATGGAGGTTTGAGGAACAGTCAAAACTACAGCCTGGAGAGGAAACCCATCTTTTTCAAAGTGGAAAACCTAGACAGACCAGGTCTTTTTCCCAAACCAAGGGAAGCCCATTGTGGTAAACCTCCATCTTAATTAAAACAATAAAAAGCCAATTGAAACATTTCAATATAAGCATCTGCGTGCCAGACTCTCTTAACTGTGGAGGGTTCCTCTAACCGGTTAAACATTTTCTGCAGTTCAAAAACAGTTCTTGCTCTCATTTTTGGCAATTTCTTCCATAATCATTTTAAATTTAGTGAAAATGAACTGAACTATGAACTGTGGTGTGAAAGTTGCTGAGAATGGTCCTCACTGGAGTCTGTCATTTAATCTCGAGGGGGGCAAACTCTATGCAGCACCACAGGGGTTATTTTTTTCCCACCCGTAGTTCTATTTAGCTCATATTTTGACTTCTCATTAGTCCAGATTAGGCTTAGTTTTGCATTCAGGAGAGATAATTAAAGGCTGGGCACAACACAAAACAACATATTTGGTCAAAGAGCCCCTGGCTACAGCAATTAGATCTGTGAGGTGAGGTGCTGTGGAGGAGGAAGGAGAACTTCAGAGCTCCAAACGGCTTCTTCCTGCAGCTGTGGGAGAGACATAATGAACAGTTTGACAGACTGTCTGAAAAAATACGCATGCTTCTGAAATTGAACTGTGAACTATGGGACACAGTGCCACTACTGATTCTTTCATTTGAATGTAAGTGTTGTTTTTTCTTTTACTGAAGACAATCGTGCAGGCTTGATCTTTGGCAGAGGCAAATTCTTTGTGCCATGTCTTTGTTCATATCACAATACATTAACACTTTGTTTTTATTCGATAAAAAATAGTTGTATCTTTTGTAGCTATACATGTGCTGAATAAGTGTTCATGAAACTAATAAAGCAGCGAGACTTTGGCTAACTGCTTGTAGTGTCAGATGAAAATATACAAAGGCATGCAGAATCACTGACTAAATCAATCAGTAAATCAATAACTTTTCTGTTTTCACAGAAGACTGACCTCTATACTAGAAGAAAGCTTTCTAAACTTTTCAACAGAATTATTGTTAGTTTGCCAAGCAAGCCTGAAACAATATGTTCATGATTATCCATCCTGGAGCCAGCAAATACATTAAAAGTAAAATATTATTGAGAGAAGACAATGATTAAGCTAGACTATCTCTTAAAGTACTCTTGCTCCTGAAAACCAGTGTCTTCATATGCACAGGTGCAGTGTTTTACACACTCCCCTGGACTTTCACTGACCCCCAGCTGCACTTTTCACTTTAAGCCTTTAATGTGTGAAAAAGTTTTTGTGTGTGTGTGTGCAGGATTTGACCACATTACCTGCTGAGGTATGCGGAGTAATCAGTTATCAACAATTACTTGTCTCAGCCAGACTCTTAATTTCCCTTCTGTAAAAACTTTTATCCTTGTAAGACCAATAATAGTGGTAAGTCGCTTGGTTATGTTATGACATGTACAGTTTTGTCTTGTACATTTTGACATTAACATCAAAACACACACACACACACACAAAATATTATATATATATATATGTGTGTGTGTGTGTGTGTGTGTGTGTATTTTTTTTTTAAAGAATAGCCTATTATAATATAATATAATAGCTATTTGGTGTATTGAAATTGTTTTATTTCAGTTTCATAAATCATGTTTTGCATACGCATACAGATACTGCTTAAAAATAATTATTAAAAATAATCAACGATTTCAGACATTTAGTTATGGACAGTGAACGTGACATCACTTCCTATAATGGGCGATTGATCAGGGCTGCGTTCAGCCCTGACAAAAACGGTGCAAAACGTTTTTTAAACGGAAACGGTGGTGCGTTGAACACACTGTTCTGATGACGCAAGAGTTGCAACTATGGCAGCTGAGAAGGCCATTCTTCGTGTTCTTTTTGAAGAATTTTCGGAGCCTGATGAAATCGGTATAAATACGTGTTTAATACTGCAAAATACGCTCGGCGCTATAACTCCACCTAGTGTTCAGATGTGGGATTTAGATGAAGTGTTCAAACTACAAACTTGTTACTAGGCCTATTCGTAAAGGTAGGTACTTTAATCAAATGAAAATCAGTACAGAAATCAGTTTCCTGACTCGATAACCATGTTTCACCTGTTGGTCAGCACAATGGATAAAAATGGTTGTCGTGCGTTTTTCGCTGTTTAATGAAGGCGAGAGATTCCCACGCAAAGAGTCAGACAGAGCTTGTTTTACTTAAACCATTTGGAAAGCCCAGTCTTAGATAAAAGCAGGTTTGCACAGCTACATTTACTGTGGTAGCTGTACCTCAACTTATGTTTATGTAGGACATGCAGTCCCATCACTTATTATGGATCATGACCCATATTTAGCCCTTCATCGACATTGTCATACAGCATTACACATATTAAAATGTTTATATTTATCACCAGGGGTTAGTGTCATTTGATACAATTAATTATTATTTAATTAATTAATTGTCAAATTAAGTAATTATTTCCGTTAGAATTTTTGGCACCTGACAATTAGATTTCGATTTAGGGAATCAAAATGCGATTTTAAAACTTAATTCTTTACTTAATTCGTGTAACTTACATATACAGCAATAATGTAGTTTTTTTTTTTTAAGTAAAATGCTCTGATGACTGGCTAACTGTACACTATGCTCAGTGTTGGGAAGGTTACTTTGGAAATGTAATAGGTTACAGATTACAAGTTACCCTATTTAAAATGTAATAGTAGTGTAACTTTTTCAATTACTTTATTAAAGTAATGTAACTGATTACTTTTGATTACTTTTTGATTACTTTTCAAAATTTCTAATGAATGTTTATTTGCAACTGTTAATAATTTTGTAGTGCTCAGACTTTCAAAATCCTTCATCACTTGAATTAAGATGATCACATTTGAATACATCCACCACAAAATCAGACTTTAGTACCGCCTTTTACTTTGAGATTGATCTGAAGTTCAATGCAGATTTAAAATCATAAGAAATAGTTTAATGATACTATTTTTGAAACCAAATATTTGCATACAGGAAACACTGCATCTAACAATGGTTTGGAAAAAATAGTTAATTTAAAAATAATAATAAATAAAAGCATATACATCAACTCAAATACGGTTATGTAATAAGCATGTGTCCTATTCTGTGTACTAAACTCCTGAAACATTGGCGTCTCTTTGTATATATGACATAAGATAGTTTTCTCAAAATAAGTAAAATGCTCATGAAGTGACACATAATTCTAGAGATTATGTTTTTGTGTTCATGTACTCATATATATATATATATATATATATATA